TTGATCCTGACCCCAGATTCCGTATGGATGGCCGTGATGTCTTCGGCCCTCACGTCCTGGATTCCGCCCGACATCTCGCTTCCCAACGCGATGGCCGCTCTGTAAGGAGAAATGCATGTCAGCCTCCCAATGACCAATTGTTTGGTCGGCATCCCGAATGATATCCCATATTCATCCCAACCAATCTTCACTGCTATACAGTCATCCCCATAAACTAGGTGATTTGACCAAACTAACACCCTCTAACCGATTATCTCCCATTATAACACCCTTTCACCTATATTTCCCGAAATAGCACCAGATGGCGGAAGGCGCATTCTCGGGACGCGCTTTCCATGAATTTATGCTGATTCAGGTGACACGTGTGAAAGGCGCATTCCCGGGGACGTGCATTTCATTAAATGACTTTAATGCCCATCCGATTTTTTCCCAACTACCCCTCCTCCCCCTATATAAACCCCCTCAACCCCCTCATTCTTCACACCAAAATCATCTTCTTCTCTCTTATATAATTCAAATTCTCTAAATCTTTGAGTTTTAAATTTCTTATTAGTGGTAAAAAATTTATTTTTAAGATAGTATTTTTTACATAGTTATTATATTTTATATTAATATAATTATATAGTTATTATTTTTTATTAAAATAATATTTATATAAATTATTATTTATTTAAATTTATTAATTAATTATTTTTGATGCTAATTATTTTTTTTGTCTACAGTTATAATGGAAAGTGAAATGCTACTGCGATTGGATGCTGACCATATCTCTAGACATTTTAGCGATATTATCATCAATAATTATTTACTATAATTTCTCAATTTATAATAATAATAACAGATGTAATTATACTAATTTTATTAACTTATGCATCAATATTTTGGTTAAATAATAATAACACATGACTAGATTGATAATATTTAAATAATTAAGTGATAAAATTAATAAATTGATAATCAAAATAAAAAATAATAATATAACCATACGTGCAATATAATAATTTTATACATTTTTCATATAACTACAATAAAATAAAAATTAGTTTTCATCTATTGTTCTATCTGATTAATGTGGATAATACACTCCACTTTTAACACACATTAAAAAAATTCATTCGATAATTATTAAATTATAGCCGAAACAATTTACATAATATACTACTAATTTATAATAACAATAAAAATTAAAATTTTATTATTAAAAACATACCACCGTGTCACCTGAGTCAGCAAAACCCCGTGAAGGCGAGTCCCCGGGGATGCGCCTTTCACACGTGTCACTTGAGTCAACATAAATTCATGGAAAGCGCGTCCCCGGGAATGCGTCTTCCGTCATCTCAGCACAAAGGGTGCTATTTCAGAAAATATAAATAAAAGGGTGTTATAATAAGAGATAATCGGTTAAAGAGTGTTAGTTTGATCAAATCTCCCGGAAACTATGTAGCTGTCTTCAATTCTAACATTTTATGCAAGAATCTGATCATCAAATTCAAACAAAAAGTAATTAGACATTAACAACATAATTTTCTTGAAAATCATTGTTGGCTTGAAACTTTATAAATTTTATAATCTATTTTTATATTTTTTATTTTTTATTTATTAAAATTTTATAAATTCATTCCTAATAATAAATTTTTTATCGTATGTCCTCGCATTCATTCTCATTTGTATCATATTTATCTAGATTGTACCATCTTTTTATTTTATTTTATTAAATCAAAGTAATTAAAAAATAATATTCGCTCTAAATAATTTTAATTATTTCTGCTATAAATGTTGTGTTGGTGTTTAAACTCGTAATCTTTAGTAGTAATAATTATTTCTTTTAACGATTGAAGAAATTTGGTTTCACATAAATAGAATAGTAAGAATAATTTCAAGAAAGAGTGGGGGGTGCATTTATGGTTGAAAAAGAACAGCCTTTTGGCATCTTCTTACAAAATGTATGAAAGTAAAAAAGTGATGTTCACATGAGTCCCATTCTATTTCCTTTTGGTGTTTTCTTAACCCTAATTCACAGGCTAGGCTAGGATATAAAGTGAGGTAGTAGATCGTTGGAAAGACTAAGATTTTGTCTAAACTATATATATATATATATATATATATATATATATATATATATATTTTTAATAAATATATTTAGATTCATGATCATTAGAAGGAATCAGTTGAACAAGTCTAATCAACTTTTTTTATCTTTATTTTTGAGGTAAATATATGAATATACATGGATCATTATTTCGCACATTGATACAGAGAAGAAACAATTCACAAGCATGACTCTAATAAAGCCATCGTCATGTATTTCATTCAAGACTTAAACCTTTAGTTTTGGGATTTAGGGTCTGTAATTCATTTATTTGTCACTTAACTAACGATTCAATTAAATTTTTAAGTTTACATTGTGTCAACAAATGTTACCTTAAGCATATATAAACATATTATTGAGATTAACAATAAAAAATATTAGATTTTTATTAAAAAAATATGAATTATCTTCAAATTTAAAAGTTTTAATTTATATCATTACTCGAGTTAGTCTAATGATCCAAAATATAAAAATAAAAATAAAAATTCTACAAAGTGTAAGTGAACTCTAACTTCATATAAATTTTTGACTTCATTAAAAAATAAATATCTAAACTGATTGCTTTTCTCAAATAGATGTCTAAACTTTTTTCGATTCATCCAGATGTCCAGTGTTACAAATGTCACTACTTTATGTGTCTCGGCTGTAATGTCTGTTAAAATATTTCATTAAGTGATTATGTCACGTTCTTTTATTTTTAGATTTTTTATTTAAAATTTAAAATTATATTTTTAATTAAAAAAACCCAAAATATTCCGTCGCCCCCTCCCTCCCAGGCGCGGAGAGCTTCAATGGTGACCCTGGGGTTTACAACTTCAATAATTGCAGTGCAATTGTTATCAAAACCTGCTACGAAATGGGCAAATTGGTTGACTCCACATCCACCCAAGTCTGTCGTTTTTGTTACCATCCCTCCTCGTATTCATATTTCATATTCAATCCAACTGCAAATGAAAAGGATAAACTACACCACGGTCACTAATGTTTGGGTTAGTATTCATTTTCACAACTAATGTTTGAAAAGTCGCAAATCAATCACTAATATTATCGTTTGTTACAAAATGTGACTTGATGTTAACATCCATTAAAAATTGTTATTGCAGCAATGGAATACTGACATGACACATTAAATCAGCTGACTCATCATGTTTGAGTGACAGTTACCCTTCTTCTTCTTCTCCTCCTCTTCTTTTTTTTCTTTGCTTCCAGAGCTACGGAAACTTGGTCGTTTTCTTCATTGATTGCAGCTCTGTTGGATACATCCTTCCTTCCTTTCACTACATGTAAGGCTAGGTAGCTCGACAGAAGGGAATATTTCAGATGGACCAGCCACTCTGAAGCTCAGCTCCATGAGCACAGAAGCATTAGGACTCGCCAGAAGCTCACGTTTCTTCCTTTTCTCTCTCAGATCCGCAAGCCATTGCTCGCTTACTAAACAACCCTTTATTTCTGAACCCATCTGCATCCAAATAAAGATCCACTTAGATTTATTATCATCATCAAGCTACAAGATATCAGTCCTCAAGGCTCACCAGTGTAACCATTGCATATAAAGGAAGCGTGATATAACTACAAATCACTTGAACTGTGATCCTAATGAAGCAATTCGAAAGTTTAGTTAGTAAATTAAATTTTTTAAAAGTTCAATGAGTAAAATAATTAATGGGAACTTTTTGATGCTAGCATCATGTCATAACACTGTTAAATAATTAATAAATTAAATTTTTTCAAAATAACGTCATTTTAATTCTAGCATCATGTCATATCACTGTTAAATAATTAATCGCAGAGTGACTAAAATAGAAGCAATTCGAAAGTTTAGTTAGTAAATTAATTTTTTTTAAATTTCAATGAGTAAAATTAGAAATTAATGAAAGTTCAGTGATGATTTATGTAATTTACTCAATAAATAAACTTAAAATGAGCAGTAGTGGGTTCTGCGGGGAGAGAGATTCTAGATGATTACAAATGGCGAGGAGGGGTTTTTGGGATTTGTGACGCATGACATTATTATTATATTTTAAGTTAAAATGATTATAAATTAGGATATGTTTTAAATACAATGAAAATGATTGGTTGATAATGGGATTTCGCTGTCATCGTGGGTGATTGATCGTATTCGGTGAAGAAAGCAACAATGGTATGATTGACAGTGGTCGTGGCGTCAAGGAAGTAGGGTTAAGGTTAGGGTTAGAGATTTATAATTTTTAGGGGTTTTGTATTTTGTAGGGATTTACGAGAAATAATGTTTTCTTAAATATAAAAATATTTTAATATTTTTAAATAAAATTATAAAATTATAAAAACGTTATAACATTAATTAAACCTAAATTTTAAAATATTTATAACATTAGAAACATGAATAAATAAAAAAAGTTTAAGTACTTATTTAAAAAAATGACATAGTTTGGACACTTATTTTTTTTAATTAAACCTAAATTTTAAAGTGAAACGCATTAATTAAAATTCTTTGGGTGTATTTTAGACCCAATAAAACAGGCCCAATTGTCATTGTAACCCAGCCTAATTAAAATTGATTGAATAGGGTCCCAATTTGTTAGACTTGGGAATGTAGGTTGAGTTGAAGACCCAAACAAATGTACATCGAACAAGTCCATGAAAATTGGGAACAGTGCACCACATAGGGGAAGTCACTTGCAATAAAGTTAATCACAAGGTTCATTTGAAATAGGTTAGTTTTATAATTGCTTTGATAACACTTTTTATTTGATCTTTCCAACAGCTGATGAACAGATACAAGACACTAGAAATTAAGTTGAACGTCCAAATGGAGTAAGCTATGGGTGGATTGCTTACCCCTTCAGCAACGCGCTTTTCTTACCTACTCCATCCCTTAAGCTTATAAAATAACCGACAACTGTCTTCACTCATCCACATTCTCGTTAACTCAGCTCGTATCCCTGTTGACTCACATCTACTTCCCCGTTTTTCCTTCTTCTCATGTTTCTTTGATCAGTGACTCTGTTTTCTCCCATGGAACTTTTATGTACGAGATCGGGTTTCTCTTTCTTCCTTCTCTACTTCTTCCTTTTCTGTGATCTCTCTTTATCTTTCTATCCGGTGGACAACTATCTAGTCAATTGTGGCGCCTTCCTGGACTCCTCCGTAGACAATCGTCGCTTCGTGTCTGACTTGCACGATTCAACTCACGCACATCTCTCTTCACCTCAGTCGTTCTCACTCTGTGCTGGAACTTTACTGCCGGCTCTGCCTCCGATCTACCACACCGCCAGAGTTTTCAAGGCGCAATCGAAATACGTTTTCGATGTCAAAGATCCAGGGACACACATGGTACGTCTCCATTTCCACCGATTCAGTACACCACAATTGAATCTCGTTGACTCTCAATTTCACGTTTTGGTGAATGGGTTGGTGGCTTTGACCAATTTTAGTGGCGGGAATTCGTTGGGTCCTAGGGTTATAGAATATCTGCTTTGCGTTCATTCAGAGAAGCTTGAAATTACTTTTGTTCCTGCTGGGAAATCGAAATTTGCCTTTGTTAATGCAATTGAAGTGATATCTGCACCTAAAGATTTGATACCGGAAACTGCTCAGTCTCTGAATGGTGATAAACTCGAGAGTTTTGAGGGTTTGAATCAACAATCATTTGAAGTTGTTCATAGGGTAACTGTAGGTGGTGCTAAAGTTACTCCTTTTAATGATTCTTTGTGGAGAACTTGGGTGCCTGATGATGAGCACCTTAAATCAAACCAAGGATCGACCAGGGTGTATTTTAGTGGTAGGATTAAATACCAAGAAGGTGGCGCAAGCCGTGAAGTCGGTCCTGATAACGTATATGATTCGGCTCGGTTGATAGAGAGCAAGAGTGCTTCGATCCCTAATGCCAACCTTTCATGGGAGTTTCTGGTGACTGAGGATTATAAGTATCTTGTCAGGCTCCATTTCTGTGATATTGCTAGTGTATCCCTTGGATTGTTGTTTTTCAATGTTCATGTTAATGGACATTTGGTATATAAGGATTTGGATCCCTCAGCCATTACGAATTACATGTTGGCTTCCCCGTTTTATCTGGATTTTGTGGTCAATGCTGATCATTCTAGTGTTGTGAATGTAGCAGTTGCACCTTCAAACAAGAGCATGGCACACACGGTTGATGCTATCCTGAACGGGGTGGAGATCATGAAGATGAATAATTTGATGGGTAGTTTCAACGGTAAGGTGCCTGCGGAATCGGTTTTGAAGTGTTGGCTGAGAAGAAAAAGTGGTCGCATTCTGCTTCCGTTGATTGCTCTCGTGTGTTTGTTGCTAAGCTTATCAGTGTTCATGCGTAGGAGGATCGATAAGGCAGATTCCATGCCGTGGTCGAAGTTGCCTATGGACGACCCTGAAAATACTCCAAAGCAAGGCAAGCAACAATTTCCAAGCAAAGTATAAATGCCAAGGATTCACTGGTTTCGTGATATACAAGTATCAGTTGGGAATACATTATACTATTGGTGTTCCCAACATATTGAAAGGTTTCTTTTGAGTTTGAATTTGAAGACTGTGAAGTGCTTTGTGCTTGTTAATCTGTATTTAAGCTGTCTCAACAGTATATAATGTTATTTTGCAGTTTGTAATCTGATCATGTTTGTGATTGAATCGGTGATACTGTAATGATTTGTTTAATTCAATAAGCATTTCACCATAAAATCCAACTTCTTTTTACATTTTACTCTAGTATTTTTTATGTCGGGTAGAAAGAACCCGCAACCTATAACTTGGAACCAGTTCGTTGCATATGGTTCAAGCCCCTTCCAACGGATAAACCTATGGCAGCCATTTTAGGCCCCTACAGCTGCCTATGGCTCGCCGCCATAATATTGTCTTCGTTCATCGTGTTCCTTATATTAATCGGGATTGTCACCTGGTTCTGCATTTACCTGAGGGATCACTATAAAAACTTATTCTCGACCTCTAAGAAAGCTGTGTTGAATATTTTGGCTGTATGTGTTTCCATAGCTGCAACAGCTAGTGCGGAGGTTTTTCGAAAGAAGAAACAGTATGCTAGGGAAGCAAAACAGGTGCAGAACATGGAAGGGCAAACCCCAGAAGGATCACCAAAAATGATGGGTTATGATGGTTATAGATAATTGGAAAGCCTCCCTCTCCGGTCTCTTACAGAAGTTACCAAAATTCACTATGGAGGGAGGCCCGACTTGAAGAGCAAGTTTCTTTTAATGTGTCAAATGGTATTCACTAGTGCCTGCATTGCAGCAACTAGAATTTACATTGAGCCAAGCGTCTGGTTTCTTTCTAGCGGTCCGACGAAATTGAGGCACAACGTCGCGGCAATCTAGCGGTCTATTAGTTTAAGCTTGTCAGTACGGTCCATAGAGAGGTTTCGGTATATAAATGACAGAAAAACAGGGAGCAAGCATCTGGTGGTGTTGAAAGGATGCATAAATAGAAACGTGTCGAAATCAAAAACCAAAATACTATATGTATGTATGTAAGTACGTACGTATATGTATGTATGTTGAGCTAGCAAGGGAAAAGTGGTAAAAGTAAGTATGAAGACAGGAACTGAAGAGTGGATGAAAACCAAGCTGGTATTGCCTTTTGGACAAATCCAAATCAAGAGTAAAAAGCAAATGGGAATGGAAATCCCACATCGGATGATGATGGTCACCTGTAGGTTGGGCGAGCAAGCTCGGGAGAGACGGTGAAAGAGGACATAAATGATAAGTCTGATAATTCATATGCTTATTGTCGTTTGTAAGATAGGTGACCCATAACATAAATCAAACATTTTTCGTTTTTGGTTTGGGTTTGGGTCCCTTGACAAACATGTTTGCTTTAAGCTTTATCATTGGTTTTGTCCCTTTTATTTCGGTTTCAAATACAACAAAGACGGTTATCAGTTATTTTGTCAACCCCATCTATTTGTCGAAAAATCACGTTAGTCCGAGAATGATATAATGATATAGAATAATAATAATAAAACAAATATCATTATAATCAAGAGAAACAAAAGGATAGAACAAGTTTACTATATCTTGAGATTGTTATCTGAAATAACAATTTGAGACGAATTCAATCCTGAGAAAAATAAAACTAGGAAGTTAGACTTCTTAAAACCAAATAAAAAATAAATAGAAATAAAAATAAAAATTCTCCTTTTTATTTTGATCTTGTGATCGAAAATAGTTGAAGTCTGTCGCTACACAATTTCCTTTAGACAGATTTTCGACCACTCCTTTGGTGCTCGCGTTCGTTGGTCGTTTGTCTCTAGAAAGTAAAAGTTATTGAACACTCTAAGATATACATAAAAAAACCTAACATGTTTGCTCAGTATTTATAGGGGATTTCCAAAAGAGATTTAATCCAACCAAATATCTTTTAATATTCAAATGTAAACATATAATAATATATTTTAGTTTAAAATATTTAAAAGATAAACTCCTTTTACCATTCAAACTTAAATAAATATTATTTTAATTTGAAATATGTAAAAAAATATAATTATCTTTAATATCAAAGTTAAAAAGATAACAAATACATTTTTAAATTGACATATTCAAAGAGTAATTATTCTACTAATAATCAAATTAAAATTATCTTTTAATTTGTAATAGTCAAAAGAAATATGAATTTAATATAAATATTAAATTTATCACTTAAATTCACCATTTTTCCAACAATTTCACACATGAATGAAATTTATGATTTTATCAAAAATATTTTGAATCGGTGTGGTAATAATCTCTACGATAAATAGTTGCATAGAATATGTAGGTGTCCTCATTTGAGCCTTCCCTTGTGACAACATATTTACTTTACTAGTTAAATAGTACACACAATGTCTTTGAACTACTCTGTCATTTGTGTAAATGATAACATATTTCACACAACTACTCATCTGACAAGAATTTAGTTCTCATGTGTATGTCCTTAAAGCCATAGACATCCGCCTAGTTCTTTAAAAGTTTGAAAGAACTATGCCCAATAGTCTTCTTGAAGTGGCCCTACTTCACTTACATTGGTTACTTATGTTACTCGGTTCACCGCAACACACAATGATAATTAAAAGTTTTGCTTATCCTATACCATTTGATCATTGTTTACATCATAGGAACGAACTTGGGATAAGATATCCCACAGTGATTGTACATGGTTTATATAATTAGGTTGTTCCTTTGAACCTAGATCTTGGGATCTCATGTCAACAAGGTAGGGTTTTCCTTCACATAAGCCTTTTTATTTTCATGAGATTTAATCTCATTCATTTAGATGTTTTCTCAACTTGATCTCATTTTAACCCTTTGGTTAGAGGATCCACAATATTATCCTTTGATCTTACAAAATCAACAGAGATAATTCAATTTGAGATCAGTTGTCTATGATATTATGTCGACGATGCATATATCTCGACTTACCATTATACTTGAAATTCTATGCTAGTCATAATATATACATATAGTAAGCACATTTTTAGCCACTCAAGAACATCCTTCAAGAAATTCCAAAGCTATTTAGCTTATTTTTCAGACATATCTAGAGCTACAAACTCATATTCCATTATGAGTCTGGTTATAACTGTTCTCTTAAATATTTCCATAATAGAACTTCTCTTCCTAATGTAAAACATATTCATTTGTGTCGTTGATGTCTTGAATCTCAAATTTCAACTAGCAACGATATATCCTTCTAAGATAGTAGGATAGTCAGAGAAAATACAATCCATCGTTTAGTATTTATCTTCATTTGTTATGGTAATATGATCATTACCTTCTCAAGACACAAACATTTTTAAATGTTTGTGTGACACAACTTTTTAACATTTTTATAACTCATATGGTATCTTGTCATTTTTCTTTCATGGAGACCTTTGTTTAAAAAGGTTATTAGTTGACCGAACAACTTTTCTCTCCTCCCATATTCTGTGACAACTCATAACTTTTTAACATTACGTTCATTTTTCAATTCTTCCGCTTTGCTACACCATTTTATTTTAGGAGAATGTAGTGATGTCAACTCCTGAATAACATCATGTTTGTGCACAATGGTTTAACATATTCACCATCACTGTCATTTCTTACCATTTTAATCTATTTATTAAGTTGGTTTTCAACTTCATGTTTATAGAAAAAAATTCTCTATAACATCGTCTTTACTCTTTTAGCAAATACACATAGCAATACTTTTGCTATCATCAATGGAGGTAATAAAATATTTATTCTCCATACTCTGTGTCATTATTACGAAATTTAACATATTGATAACTAACAAACCATTAGTATCAGCATCTTATGTTTTATATACATGATCAAATGTTATCCATAATTCTTTTATGGATATTTTACACCTTATAGAGTATCCGATAATACATTCAAGACATATTTCCATAATACTTCCAAAATTCGGTAACAACAATTACCTCATCCTCTCTAATAATAGGAAGATTATCCAAAAATTAACCAAATTCAATATGACAAAATAAAATAACATCTTATGATGTCATATCTTTAAATTTTATCCATTGAATTTTAAATGTTTCTCGTTGTGACTTACAACCATTAACACCTTTGAATTTTAATTCAAAGTTTGAGTAAAACCCAACGTTTCAAATCATGAATTAGGTGAATCGCTAAGACGACTCATTATTCCAATGATTTTTATTAATAAATAAAAATTCAAATAATTTCATTACGTGACAGAATTAAAATCTCAATTGATTTCAAATATGAAACTAAAGATTCTAAAGAACATAAATTTATTTTTAATTTTGTTAAGTTCTAAGTGTCGTAACCGGTTTTCGTCCGGGCACGAAATATTTATTTGGTGGGAAAATTGATGTGAATAAATGGTTTTGAAAATAATTTGGGAGTCGCCATCGGCCTTTTGGGTCAGGTAGGTCGAATACCTAAAAATTATTTTTTTTAAAAGAGTTTTAAGAAAACATCAATTAAAAAAAATGAACTGATCTGCGTTTATAACCAAAAATTCATTCTTTTTAATAATAAAAAGGGATTCGTGGTCGGTTACGTTTAGGGAAGGATTAGCACCCCTACAACGCCCAAAATTGGTACTTTTTAATTATAAATTGTCTCTATTATTATTAATTTAAAAATTCAAGATATTCATAATTCTACTATTTCAAATAATTTAAGAAAATATTAATACATAAATAAATATTTACTTATTTAGAAATATCAGAAAAGGGCTTCTAGGTACCTTAAGACAGCTCTCTTCGATATTAAAAATAAAATAAATAACTAAAAATATTTTCTTAAAAAATAAAATTTAAATAAGATATTTATTTATTTAAAAATATCAGAAAATGGCTTCTAGGTGACTTTAAGACAGCTCTTTTCTTTGATAAAAATAAATATTAAAAATGTAATAAAACTAAATTATAATTTTATAATATTTAGTTATTTAAAATACCAGAATAGGACATCCAGTTGTATTAAGACTGCCCTTTTCTTGATATTGAAAATAAATAAACATTATTAAATAAATAAATAATATATATATAATATAGTAAAACAATAATTAAAGTAATTATTTAAAATATATTAAAAATAATAAAAATTAAATTAAGTTAAAATATAATTAAACAATGACTAAAATAAATAAAATAATAATAAATGTAAAATTATTTAAATTAATGAA